TTAACTTCATGGTGGCATTGAATTTAAGTTTCAAATGTAACAGACATACTAAAATGGTAATAAAAGATAGGAAAGAAAATAACCGGATATGATTAGCTTCATGGCATTGAATTTAAGTTTCAAATGTAACAGACATACTAGAAAACAGGTTAATGCTTCATAACCCTATTATTCCGTAGTAGATTCATTCATAATCTCTTACCCAAAGTATATTTACATGGTTGTAAGGAGAGCGATGTAAACGTACAGGGCGGTAGTCTTGCAGTATATTAATCAATTTAATAAAAAGAAAACCAGATTATGGAAAAATTAACAATAATTAGTTAAAGAAGTAGCCTTGGTAATAGTTGTAAAAACTTATGTGTTGCCACTCGTTAACTGGAAGAAAACATCAACAACAGCGAATGGAAAATTAATTATTACCCAATCTGCTGCTGACAAAATTTTGGTTTTGTCATGAATGTTGTTCATCTCATTTTACTTCAATTCTCACTTTTTATTGTGATGTTGAACTGAAATTAACATAGCAAGCCTAAAAAAACAAAATACTCGTAGGTTTATACTTACAATCGTCGCATTCGATTTCTTCACAGCTTTTGTCTGTGCTGCCCGCAGCGGCAATCTTCCATAGAGCGTTTGTCTCGGGTTCTACTCGGACGCATACGTGTGTGAAGGTCGTACAAAGGACCTCTGCGAGGTTGAGTGTAGCATTCAACCTATCGAACGATACCGCCTCACCCACCGTCAGATTAAACGATCCAACGTCAAGCTCAATTCCAGCTATATAAACCATAAATATATTAAATGCTGTTAAGAAACAATAACTATATTTGTATCATGGCTTATACAATTACGAATGCTCAATCGATGTGATTTAGTGGTCATGAAAATACAATTAAAGATGCTCTCATCTTTGCCATATAAAAATATTGCTTCAGTCGCCATCCATTTTATTTTTCTCTTCACAAAGATATTAAATGTCACTATCACCATCAAGAACAGTTATTCTATAACCACTGGTGTAAGGGCACATTTTGAAGAGGAGGGGGTGTGGGGGGGGGGGGGGGTGGTTGACGCCTTTTGTCCAATAAATCAACTTGTCAATTTCTAAGTTTTTCGCGCGCGAGTGAATCGAGCTTTTTGAGGATGTTCGGGCACCTCATCTCAAACGAGGATATCCGGGCATATCTCGCTGCCCGATTTTGAGATTATGGTTGTCCTTACATCTATGCCTATAACAATTTCTATTTTAGGCTATAGTCTTTATCGATATTCATGAATTGCCGTAGTATTCCTATGAGAAGCATGGTTTGGGAATTTGATTTCTTTACATTAACAAGTTCAATTATTTTCTTACTGCACAGATGATAGGGTCTTTAGAAATTCATTAACTTGTCTTATAGGAGGGATGTAAAGTTTGCCAAAGGCGATTGCATTGCGCTTTCACAAAATGTATCCAAAAATGGTTTTAGGGCTTGTTTTTCGAGTAAAACTGACCTGACACTTCTTCCATCTCGCTGTCGGCAGCGTAGACGATCACCTTCATGTCATCAATTAACTCGACTACCGAACCGTTGACGATCTCCACAGATGCCGTGATCGTTACAAAAGCTCCTCCCCCTATGGCAACAATCTTATCATCCGGGTAATTTAGTGTTGTCGTCACCGTGAGAATAGCTGGGAGATGAAATTATATTGATAGTAGGGAAATAATTAAATGTTTTATCACTTTAAACTTTCGTCTGTAATACACGTTATCATTCCTAGCAACAGCTCAGGTTTAATGTCTACGTTTAACAACCAAAGATATGATATATAGATTTGTCCTTACATCAAAATTTGCTGAACACGATATAGTTTTTATAATTGAAACAGAATGAAGAATATGGAATTTAAAATATAAGAATGACAATACCTCAACAGACTGACGAAATAATTAGATTATTCGCATAGCTAGGCTCTTGATAATTAATTCCAAAAAGACTGTTGTTAGACTAATACTTTGAGTGGTCACTTTTATCGTATAAATATAGAAATTCCTTATCAAGGTCAAAATTTGTTCAATCTTGATACAAGTTCTAATAAAACTCTTACCTTCTTCTGGTTCGGTAGCTACATAAAAAGAGAGAAATTAAAACAGAAAACACAAAATTATTATTATATTATTATATAAAACTATTTTTAAACGTTTTACCCCTCACAGTGATTATCTTTACATGAACTAGTATTATAATTCTTCTCCATTGTATACAGAGGTCAGATTTTGAATGTCAACATCCGTAATTATCTTATATGATTATTTTGTTGAGATATTATAGAACAACAAAATATGTTATGAAGTGGGGATAAGACAAAATTATATACAAAGATAAAACATCACGTGGACGATATTGGCGTGTGATGAAACCACGCCTCCACTTCCCAAAGTCAAGTGAAATATTAAGGACGCCGCTTGGCATGTTTACTAAGTTATTTCTGGGGATGATGAAATGATTTGAAGAGGGCTGGTCAATATTAGCGTTCTCTTTCATCATGGTTGAGCTGATGACATCGGTTACCAAGGCAACAGACGCTGTGTCTTGGCGGGTACATAGAGACAGACAACAAAGTTCTGAGGACAATGGGATGGATTCTGACATCAAGTGGACCAAAGTAGACTGTTGATGTGGTTTATGGCGGGGGGTAAAGGGCGTTGTACCCTACATGAAACTAAATGTCCATTGTTCTGTAGTGGATGCATATTGACAATTCCCCCTTGTCGGTATAGAAAATGCCAATATATGAAGTAAGTTGCATCATACTTTGTAACTTACAGACGAGCTTTTGGATGGGACATTATTAAGTACAGCGTCTGTTGTCTTGGTAACCCTTGTCATCAGCTCCCCACGATGAGGGAGAACGCCAATATTGACCTCTTAATTTCGGAATATAATGAGAGCATTAATACGGGGTGTCTAAAACACAATAATGCAACAAGAGTTTGGTTCGTAAAATCTTTAAAAAATACTCATTCATTCTTAGTGAAACTTCGTAGGCAATGCCGTTATGGTTGTAGTAATATCTCATCACATTTGCGTGAATTTCATATAGATCTAAGAATTAACAAAAAAAGGTAATTTTTTGTGGGTAAAACGTTGCATTTTTTTTCAATTGTTACAAGAATATAACTGGCGCATGAATATTGCCTGGAAAGCTCTCAAATCAACTTCAATTCTTGTTATAAAAGGAGTGCTAACAATTAAGATGAATGTAAATTATCTAAGCATCAAAGGTAGAGTAATGCCTGTAGTATGTTTTACAGAGACATAGTCAGTGGCGTAGACAGGTTCGTACACCTGGGGGGGGGGATGACTGGGCTGCCAACGCTAGTGAGGGAGCGAAGCGACCGAGCGGGGGGAGGGTGTGGGAGGGGGGTGTCTCCACACCGTGGCATACGAATACAGAATGGACTGAAACATAGTATTGCATATTGAACCACACTACGTATTTATTTATCTCTGTGAATTTTGCTGTTACACCTCTTCAGAAAAAAAACCAATGTCAACTGTGTACACGCAGGTATAGTCTTTGTTGTCTTGATAGGGGTATGTGGTTATGAATGAAAACAGCCTCTGTGGCCATTTGTGAATAGAACACATAAACAACAAACAAATAACGATTAAACTTTGAACAATATGTCTGTTCATTATAAAGCATAATGAATACGTACATACTATGCTTTTTTTTTACCTCAAAGAAAAAAGGCATAGTATCCATAGATGGATATTGGCCCATTCTTCGTAAAGTTACAAGCACTATACACAGAAAGATGTATGTGGGACTACCCTATCTCTCTCACCAGACCATGAGAGGTAAGGACCAGTAATGGTCATGCGATTGCATTGTGAAAGAAACGTTGTGGAATCGATCAGAAAAGGTTGATCATCTAGCATCTAGCATCTGCAAGGTTCTGGAATCATCAAAATGATAAGAAATTTGGCCCATTCTTCGTAAAGTTACAAGCACTATACACAGAAAGATGTATGTGGGACTACCCTATCTCTCTCACCAGACCATGAGAGAAATAAGTTTACCAAATATATGAATTAGTAGGCGGTTTCCCGGCAAATTTTTTATCATCATGTATTAGTCAAAACATATTCTTTCACATGATTGATAATGAGAGCTTCCATTTCATTTTTTGAAATTGGGGCGTTGCCAATACTGGTCTTTACCTTTAACATACAGATACAAAAAACATAAACAGTATCACTATGATCCCTGGAGTAACAATACTGCTTTGTAAGTTTGTGAAGAAATCGGAACCATAACGGCATTGCATCGTTTCAAATTAGGGCATTATTTACTTCTATTTGATCTCAGTCTTATAATAGTAATAGTAATAATAATAATAATAATAATAATAATAATAATAATAATAATAATAATAATAATAATAATAATAATAATAATAATAATAATAATAATAATAATAATAATAATAATAATAATAATAATAATAATAATAATAATAATAATAATAATAATAATAATAATAATAATAAAAAATAATACTAATACAAATAATAATGCTAATACTAATAGGTTCCTTTTATCTCGCATTTCAAGACAGGGTAAATTCACACTGCGCTTTACATGAAACAAACTTCTTTAAACATTTCAAACTTATGCCTTCATGCATCAATCAACATACTTTAAATGAATACAAAACAAAGTGCATCTTAAATAAAACAAAAATAAATAAATAGTTAACAATACAGAAAAGATGTAGCTGCTGCAAGCTTAACAACAAACTAATGTATACCAGTCAGTCCTGATATCAGTATTAGTGTAACAATAGTCATTATAGTGGGAGCATGAAGTTGAACAATTCATAATTATACATAATTATATATGTTTGTTTGAATAATACTTGTTATAAAGATAGTAGTATGGTACTCTCTGTCACGAATTATTATGTATACTGTTGTATCACATTCATTTTCTATTCTGTTTTAGAATTGGCTTTCACCGTGTGAATGCGGCTAACAATAAACACAATTACAATAATGATGAGGATTATTATTATCATTATCATAATTATTATTATTATTAATATTATAATTGTTAGCATTATTATTATTACTATTATTATCATCATTATGACTTATGAAGTAAGCAAATATCATTCCCCAAAACCTGGGGGGATGATTGTACATGCCATCCCCCCACACCTTGTGAGGTGGGGGGATGCATCCCCCTCATCCCCCCGTTGTCTACGCCCCTGGACATAGTGGTCAAATCAAATCAAATAAAAAATATTGTGGAGAAACCCAAATGACATGTTATACAATGTTCATAGATCTCCTGAGAAGGTATAACCTGAAATCAATGTTCGACGTTTTTTCCTTAAATTTGAAATAGGTACACTAGAGGGTAGTTGACTAGGGGTGCTTATCCGGGGGTGGATGTCCTGGGGGTAGGTGTCCCCGAACCCTCTGAATTATATGCTAAAGAAATACAATAAATACCTTCCTAGCAGGTTATCCATCACGTCATCTGGATCGAGGGTCATTATTTGTATACGAAATGTTTCGTCCATGGAATCGGATTAGATTTGAAGCTAGGACCTCCCCATTGGAAGTCACTTGTAAGATCTCTACTACAACCATCATGGCATTACTTGTACGACGAAAGAATGGGAGAAACGATTACGTACCTTCCGTTGTTCCCTTTAAAATGGGACCTTCCGTATTTTCTTCTGTTTTTCCTGAAGCCTCAGTGGCATCTGTTTCTCCTGGAACATTGGTGGCATCTGTTTCACCTGAAGCCTCAGTGGCATCTGTTTCTCCTGGAACATTGGTGGCATCTGTTTCTCCTGGAGCCTCGGAGGCCTCTGTCTTGACTGGAGCCCTGGAGGCCTCTGTCTCTCCTGGAGCCTCGGAGGCCTCTGTTGTTACTGGAGCATTGGTGGCTTCTTTTTCCGCAGTAAGAGGGGCTGCTGAGGTTTCTATATTTCCTGAAGTAGTGGGCGCTCCAGTCGGGGTATCTGTAGCGGTTAAACATTGTCCATTTTTCGGATAGAAACGTGGTATTCAAATAGCAATAGCAATAATGTATTCGATGTTTTCAACAGTCAAGGGATTTGGATATTGCTAGCGTCGGATGTATACCTTTACAGCAAATGTGTATACCTTTTGATATTCAGTAACTTTTGAGAAAAAAAAGACGTTTTGATTCAACTTTATTCCCTGCTAATTGCCAGGAACAAATGTTATGTAGATCTTGAATTCATGCAGTGAGCATCACTTTTACAAGAATCAATGCCAATGAAATACATCTTTTTATACATGTAAATAAAGACTGAGAAACAGATTTTTAAAAGAATTTTTGTTGTAAAACTATAGGTATATGGGTAAATAGATAAGAGAGAGAGAGAGAGAGAGAGAGACGGGGGCCGAGGGGATAGATATCGAAGGATTTTCAATGTTTGAAACCCTTTTAAATAACACAAACAAAACAAGTAAATCATAATATTGTATTTTAATTTTACCTTGCGTTTGCATACCGGACGTTTGATCGAGTTCAGTTGTCATTTCAGCTGTTAGGAAAAAAACAAAACAAAGAATTTGTTACAATAACTATGGAAGGTTGTACAAAACACGCATTAGCGATAACAGTTCCACGGTAAATTCTCTACAGCCCTATCCTAACCCTAACCCTAAGCCCAACTTAGTTCTAAATTGCGACACTATTAAGCCTTTTCTTGTATCTCTGATAGGATGGTTGTAGTAGCATCCGCTGGATCACCAAATAGATAGATGGCAGATATAAAGTGACAGGACTGTATTCCTCGTATACGCAAGACTGTATTAAATGTTATGATAGTACGGTTATATGTGATGGACATGAATAATGTTTCATCGGATCGTTGACATTAAATCAATGTGTCACAAATCGGTTATTCTATTCAAATTTCCCCTTGTATCTAAACTTCATAAAATTTGTTCAAAATTTGAAGGTAACCAATCATGGTCGACATGATTCACAACCTTAACAAAAAACGAAAAAACAATATTTAAAGTATTGACATCGCATTGAATAAATTCATAAATAATAGATATCTATTAGTTTCCTACATCTATCCAGGGTTTGATTCTTTAGGTTAAACTGGCCAAAAGATAGTTTTTTTTTCTTTTCATATCAAACTTCCTCTCACCCATTCTCCTGCTCTTTATCTCCTTCCCTCCCGTTTCTTTTTCATTGTTGTCCCTTCTTTGAATTTAATTTTTAGTGTATTAAAAAAATATCATTATAAACGGTTTTGGGAATAATCAATTTCAATTTAAAATAGACATATACTCACTTGTCTGTGCTAGAACAGACGGCATTACAAGAAGAAAGACGATAAATAGTTTTAAAGACTCCATATTTTATCCTGTTAGTGATAATAAAACAAAGATTGTAATTTCGGATAGCTGAATTAACCTCAAAATGGAAACACGACCGTCTGCAAGATTTAGAATATGCAAAGTGAAAGAATTATGGATTCCCTGCGTTTCATAATATTTCTTGGTAGTCATGGCATATGCTTTATGGATGTCAAACAAACAACGTTAGCTTTTTGATCATGTTGTCTTAAGTTTAATATTTGACGATGTCAAATTCTTTATATCTACCGTTGATTGAGAGGTGGATATAAGGTACTTGCAGTCGTTCGAGTCAATACACTGACAGCCAGTGGCGCCATGTTTGTCCGCAACCATCACGACAACGGCGTCACTTGCAGTAGCACTTGGTGAATGGGGAGGGAAGGGGGGGGGGGGGGCGGTGGCACAGAGCACTTCCCTTCTCCTTTCCCGCTGAAACAAAATTGTTGTACATTTATACATATCTGTATGTCTGTGTAGGCGAATACCAGCGTGCCAAAATGTAACATTTGTATGTGCGCGTACGCATTTGCGTGTGTGTGTGTGTGTGTGAGCGTGTGCGCGTGTGGGTGGGGAAGTGTATGTCATCAGATGGTCACAGACGACTTTCAATTTAGGGAGCTGTTTGTTTATGATGCCGCGCGAAGGAATATAATTTTTTTTTAAATGTGCTTGTTTGCTTGGGAGAGAATGAAGAAATAACCTCCGTAAAATTAATATCCTATCTTTTGTTTGGTTTATATTATTTGTATATTGTGCAGTGTAGATCCCTGCGCCGTTTTCAAAAGGAGATGGGATAAGGAGGAGGAGGAGGAGAAGAAGAAGAAGAAGAAGAAGAAGAAGAAGAAGAAGAAGAAGAAGAAGAAGAAGAAGAAGAAAAAAGAAGAACAAAAAGAAGAAGAAGAAGAAGAAGAAGAAGAAGGTCAAAACGTCGTCGACTCTGAAAACTGGTTTAAATTGGTGTGCATACATTTTGATTTTTGCTTTTGTTTGATCTCTGCTATCTTTCATAACTGACAAATCAAAATGTCAAATATCATTTTTCAAAGACTGGCTAGATAAAAGTCACTTGAAGGTAATATTGAGGAGTGATCAACGACATGATTGTAATAATGATTGGGTTCTTGTTCAACCACACGAAGCTTGAATAGAATGTAATATTCAACATTACAAATAAATGATACTGCCAAATTTTGGTAGAAAAAAATATCATATCTGAATACGGAGAAGAAAAGATGACATAATAAAAAAAAGAAAACCGGCAAAAAAAGAAAGTGATCTCTATTTATTGTCAAAGTTGTCATGATTTTTTGTCGTCCAAAAATATAATAAAAATATATATCGAAAGAAAGGAAAATTAATACTCTGCCCAAATCAATTAAGATCAAGTTTCGAACTTTCAGGCTTGGATGGGCGCATTCATTTCACCCTTAAAATGTATAATTAAGAAAATTGCAGAAATAGACCAAATAGCCATTTAAGTGTTAATAAACTAGGGCATCTTTAAGATATTCTTATTCTAACAATGAGCAAAGAATGAGAGACAATGAGAAGGGTTGAGCTCTGGATGTCAACTGCATAAAGTTTTCAAAAGCACGGTCAAGATGTCTTTCCGTTCGTGTTTCTTGTGAGTTTCGTTTCATTGCTTTTGTTTAAATGGCTAGATTTTTTTTCAGAGACTAAAGTTAATAATGGTTAAATTTTTGATTTGATTTGATTTTATTCAGACAATATAAAAATATATACATGTCTTGGGTTACAAAACAAGGTTTAGAAAAACCCATACAAGTTTGCATCCCAGATATGGAATGGCATACATAATTACACAGTAAATACTAATACATAAAATATCGAAGTATGACATAGGTTATAGTTCAATATAAATACAACAGAAATACAAGTTAGAAATTGCAAGACACTTCTATTTTAAAAATCTAGATTGAGATGTTTTACCAGAGCCGATTTAAAGGTATTTAGCGATTGACTGTTTACTACTCTTTGTGGGAGTTGATTCCATTCATTAATTATTTGGGGATAAAAGGATTTCATATAATAGTCTGTTCTGGCATATGGAACGTGCATCTTAAAAGTATTATCATTTCTTCCTATTCTGTTCGCTCGTGTGCACCTATTTACTTCTCCTACATTAATCAAGTTATTTACAATCTTATAGTAAAAAACAAGTCTATGGTACTTTCGTCTATTTTCTAATAAATTCATTTTGACATTTTGTAATAATAATAATAATAATAATAATAATATTCATTTGTAAAGCGCAATAACTATGTGGATATATTCTATTGCGCTGCAAGAGCTCGTAAATGCTGTGCTATACATACTATATGAACAAGTGAGTTTTCAGTTTTGATTTAAAATTATCTAGTGATGGGGCTTTCCTTATTTCTAGTGGTAATTTATTCCATAATCTAGGGGCAGCACAGAGAAATGACCGGTCACCGAGGGTTACTTTGGTTTTATATGGGGGTATTTGCAACATAAATGTGTCTTGTGTACTACGAAGGTTACGACCATGAGTTTGAGACTTGATGTGCAACAATTCAGTAACGTAACTAGGAGTTTGACCATTTAGAGCTTTAACACGTTATAACTCGTAGACCAATCCTTACACATCATCCTTACGTAACGTTTTTGAATACGTTCAATCCTCTCTTTGTGTGTGTTTCTATAGGGATCCCATGCTGTACAACAATATTCTAAACGTGAGCGAATTAGTGATTCAAAAAGACTTTTTAAAATAGACTTTGGACAATTAACAAAATTCCGTCTTATAATTCCCATGATCCTGTTACATTTTGTATATAAGTCAGTGCAATGGTCGTTCCAGTTTAAAGAATCATTTATTACAAGACCTAAGTATTTTTCAGACTTTACATTTGTTAACTCCTGTCCATTGAGAGAATAATTATAAATGGCTATGATCGCTCATAATTACGTGAATGGTATTTTTCCAATTGCATATAGATCTAATATCTTAAAGAGAATTGATAATGTTGATTATGGTAGGTGAAAGGTGTGTTTATATCGAAATCAATGTATCAATATCGAGATCTTGAAAATCTTGACTAGAAATAGTGTCCACTTTCTGTTTCTGTTGAATGTAATATTCCCGACCTGCAGACCACGGCCGTATTTAGTAAAGCCACTATCTCATAGGTGCAAATAAAAGTTACATTTTCAGTCAATATGATTTCAAACATGTTCGCGTTACTATGTTTATGTGCCTTTATCGACATCATCTTAAATAAGACGCCAACCAGGATTCATAGCGTTCTTTCAATAAAGCGGGTAGTCGCGTAGCAATAATGGTAAACACAAGCTCTTTTTGTTTGCTCTTCGAACTAGCAATGATATCATGAGATAGAGAAGACTAGAAGAATTGCCGGATATGTGGTCCAAGCAAATGAAATGCCACCAACGAAAGAGATAAGTAAAATGAAGTCTGAAACAAATGAAATGATGTAGTTTCTACCTTGGCATACATCTAAGTGGTTTGAGATTCAAGTTTAAGACAGAATGAATGTTATTACAAATTATACGTCTGCATTTGGCCAAACCATCCGTAGATATCAATGAGGCAAACTGGGCAGAAGGAGAGTTTATGCATATTTTGAAAAACTCGAGCTCTCATCAAGTGAAGCTCATAGAGGCTGAGGAATGCATCATTAAAAAGCAGATGCTTTCCATTACATACTGTAATCTACTACAAAGTCGAGGATGTTATACATCAAGTGTACATTTAAGAATTTACAAATACTAAAATGTTTGGATAGGAGCCTATAATACTGTTTATGGGACTGTGATAAAGAAACTATAGCTACAAATAGACACATGCAAATGTCGGGAATATCGTTTGACTAATGTAAAGGACTATAGGTTATAAACTAATTCTTCATTAGAAAAACTTGTCAGGTTCAAGTTGTCTTTTTTGTTTGCTTTCAAGATGACATCTTGATTTTGAGTGTTTGTTCATTTTCCATCCCCAGAGGACTACTAGCTAGCTCCTATTTATCATGTATTGAAATGAGATCTGTATAATTGTAAATATTTGTTTATAAGAATGGTTAAGAGATGCATTTTTAAACACTGAACAGGGGATATTGAAATGTAACACATGTAGATGATTGAATTAGAAGGCTTTGCAGGAATATTTAGAATACAGTGTAGTGTATATGGCCGGAGGATAATCATACAACCACATGGCCAAGTTAAAAAAGAGGGTAATAATAAGTTAACACCGAGGATCCTACATCGTCTTATCAAACAAGATAATCTTCATTCATCCACCTCATATTATCACTAATATACGTATCATGCAAGACTCCTCATATCAACATGTCTGTTGTCATGGTGATGACACTCAACATAGACAAGAAGGCAAACAAACAGACTTTACTGTATTGACAATATTTTATTGAAATACTGTCAACATTGATCCTTGCGCTGGCAAATATCATAAAGTTTGTCACGGAGCTTGTCAGATGTTAAATGCTAAAGTAGGTGTGATATACTTCCAATTATATCTGATAATGGCACATACTCTATCTTTTTCAATGTCTTACAGCCATCACAGCCTAACTCAAGATAGGGATGGAGATCGATGTTAAGTGGGTACGTTTTATTGAGCTGTATGTTTGATAAAACTTAATGGATATCACATGGCTAGACTCGTAAAATAAGAATTGTAATAAAAGTCTTTACATAAAAGTAAAAAGTGAGAGAAAGAGAGAGAGAGAGAGAGAGAAAGAGAACTCGAGTAGGTTACATACAAGACATATAATATTCAATAATAATGATCATAATTGTGGGTTCTTGTATAGCACAAATGTCTGTCAGATTTGACACTCCTGGCGCTCCACACTACAGCAGTCATGACTCTATTCATGAATCAATCAAAAAAGTACTTCATCATCCCCAGCTATTTTTCCATCTAATATCAATGTCCACATTGAACTACACAGTGAATATTGCGTTTAATGAAAAACTTTCATGATTTATGTTCGACACAATTCAAACCGTTAACAACGCTTTTATTTGAGATGTGAATCTTAACAACTAAATGTTGATACTATACATGTATCATGAGTTTATAGTGTTGTTGAGATATCACAATTAATTATTAGTTAAAGTAGCTGAGAGAGAGAGGGAGAGAGAGAGAGAGAGAGAGAGAGAGAGAGAGAGAGAGAGAGAGAGAGAAAGAAAAATAATAACAGCAGCAGTTTTTCGTAAAAGAAGAATATTGTCTACTGAGTTTAGTCATGTAATGTATCAAGATAGGTACAATGTATCCTAATTATATAATAAAGTTTTAGAGGAATTGCTAGCAGTAATTTTTCTTACATATACATTTTAATCTCTGGTAGAACTAAATTAGAAACTGCTCTTTAGCATATTTTTTTTAAATTTGACGGTTGCTTGGTAAGTTGGTTTATATCCTGCACAGATTGACAAAAGGTTTCAGTGAATCCGTTATTTGATCATATAGGACTAAAATTTGTTAAAAATCTAATATAAATTAAAACTTTTAAAAATCAAATGAGGCAAGGTTTGCTACCAATAGCATTGAAACAGCAAAAATGTCATAATGTAAAATAGTTAAGGGGTTTGAAAGGCCCAACAAGTTCTTCTTCCATAGCATGATCATGAACAGATTTTAAAAATAAAAATCGACAATTAATAATAGTATCTACCTATTCATCTTCATTGCTGCACTTTTAAACAAACTTAATCAAATTTGTCTTTACCCCTTTCCCCTGGGAACATAACCCTCCCTCCTTCATAATCCTTTCCCTCTATTAACCCATCTCGTATTCTTTCATGTCCAGCACCTCTCCACATCCAATCTGGGACCCGTTTCACAAAACTTGTCATCAGTGACAAATGACAGTTTTTATTATAAGCTACTGAAATCCTTGCTTCTGATTGGTTATCAGCAGATTTGTCACTGATATTTGTCATTTGTAATTGACAAAAGGCTTTGTGAAACACCCCCCTAGAGAGTCTACCATTTCCCTCCTCGCTTCTTCTTTGGTTTGCCCTTCTTGGAGGCTGCTGAGGCAGGTTTCTGCTGTCTGGGGGCGGGGTTGCCTGGCGAGGGGGAGCCGGTGTTGCTACTGGTCTGGGATCCAGGGCGGGGTGAGTTAGGTACACTGCTGGGCTTGCTGGCATCCCTGTGGCACAACAAGCAAAGAAGAGGATTAACACTCGGCTATATAACTCATTCAAATATTAAATCAGTAACACCTACAATCCTGCAAACTGAACAGCATTATTACATATAAATGTACAAAATCAAATTTGAATCCATCATTTAATCAAATACAATGCTACAACTCTGCAATATTTTGAAGAAAAATGAAAATGGAGTAGTGCTAACAAAAATAACAGTCACATGACCAATTTATCAATTTGAGCTTAGCAAAGATCTTGACTTGAAAACTAAATCAAATTCCTTTCTAAAAATCCTTTCAGTTTTTATTTTCTTTTACTCCCTGCTCCACAATTGAATTCAATCAAAAAATGCAGAAAGCTTATCCCATCTAGCATTTTATATTCATTTATATGAGTGATGCCTTTAATGTCGCTAGGCGATCACACTTTAATTCCTGGGCTGACTACAAAAATTCGAAGTTGAAATAATCATGCATGAATGATTATCTTGGTATTATGACTTACATTTCTCCGGTGCCTGCCGTAGCTCCTTGAGTGCCCTTTCCTACGCCGCCTCCCTTCTTGTCTCGTCGTCTCTTTCCCTTGAAGTGGGACCTCTCCCTCATCGGCAACCATCGCTCTGGGTCAGGGGCCACGGAGGAGTCAAAGTTCTTAGGCAGAAGAGCTGGAAGTGTAGAATATAAGACGACAAATAATTACTGCTTGCAAGTACAGTGAAACCTGTCTATAAAGACCACCAAAGGGAGACAAGAAAGGTGGTCTTTATAGGCAAGTGGTCTTTATGTACAGGATCCTGGAGTACATGTTACAATAAGAAACTATTTTCAAGGGAAACAGAAATGTGGTCTTTGTAGACAAGTGGTCACTAAAGCAGGTTTGACTGTAGTATCAACAATATAGGGAAATAAACAACTTGGAGGGTTATTCTATTCTAATACTCGACACTCTTTTCCTGTACATGAATACAATTCAAATCTATTCTGTAATAAGGTGGAAATATACATCAGACAGTTTTAATGGTGGCAATTATATAATACCTGTTAAAGGTAATACAAAGTTTTGGTATGGGGTAATGAATTTGGTTCAAATGAACATATTGGAAGCATATACGATCCTACAATATTCAGTGATCGTTGTCGCGATCGAAATCGACTCTAAAGTTATGAAATTGTAAATAATAAACACTTTATGTTGAATAGCTCCCTCTCAAGGTCAAGATATTAATTAAGCTATAAAACAATGTTTATTGACTAAAATTGACTGATTAGCTATTCTCGTTCAGAAATTATATTCCACAACTACATACTCTGAGATTTTCATGGTCGCAGCTACCATTGAACGGCCGTAGGAGCTATTTGAAATTTATCAAAATTTACCGGGAGCACCGGTAAATCTTTATATTCAATTTTTCTCGAAAGCAGAAGTGTTTTAGGGGCTAAAATTTCTGGCATTTTTAATACATCCACAGGGGCATCCAAATATATTAAAATTGTAAGGAATCACTATCCACCCATTTTTCAAAATTTCCAAAACTTTGTAATACCTTTAAAGCAAGTTATTTTAATGTTTAGTAGTGCCTTAGTAAACACAATTTAGGTCTGCACCAGAAAGCAATGCCTCTTCCACTAATTACACTTTGTAACCATGGATACTGAAAATCTTATGTGTGAAAATTTGCATGCTTTTAGCTAATTATTCAAGATTTTATCTAATGAATTAGACTGAAATATTGCAATTTGTTAAATTTTCTGGTTATACATCCTTCACCCATTGAGAGACTGTGCTCACGTTTTCTCTTTCGTTTCCTCTTCTTCTTCATCTCTTCCACCGAAGCTACCGCACCAGTCTTCTCTGCATCGGCCTTGCCTCCTCTCCTGAGCTGCCTGGTGCTGAGGGTGAGGGGAGTGTTCTCCAACACATCAACGTCAACATCAGCCGAGAGCTGGGCCACCGAAGGCAACTCTTTACTCAGTCTTGAGTTGGGTTGAAGGGGTTAAGGATAATCACAATCCAAGAAATGAGTCATATCCCAGGGCCCTGTTACATATAACTTGCCATTATTGGTAAATGTGTCATTATTGGTAACTTCCATGGAAACCTAGATTTGATTGGCTGTTGAGTGATGTTGCCATGGTAGTCAATATTGATGGCATAGATACCATCAGGGATGAGTTTTAAATGCAACTAGAAATCAAACTTAACTAAAATGAATCTGATTAGATGAATGAGAAGGTGCTCTTGATACTTTGGAGTGGAGAATGTTGTAACTTGTGAAAAGGTTCTCAAAGTCAATTACAAGTATAGAAGATTTCAAATAGCTTTTAATTTTGAACTCCACTGCTATATCAGTCACAAACCCACATATTACTCTCACACTCAGTCCTGAATATTTAGATTATTAATATAAATTCTCAGTAAACACAGTTAGAAATTATTGTAAAGCTCAATTTCAAGCAAGAATAAACAGGTATAAAATGTTGCTCCATTATACTTTTCTCCTTCAGGAAAGTTGATTCATGTATTTTTCACTACAACAAATTCCTATCTAGGTGAGAATGAGTATAAATATAAGAAAGGATACTCTTGCGCCCTCTTGGGGTCAAACTTGGAGTAGGCTGATATGAGTTGAGCAAGGGTCTTGATGTCACCTGGGTTGGACCTATGGATTGAAAAAAAATGTAAAAAAAGATAAGCATTATCTGTTGAATACACATTTGTTTTTCATGTAATAAACATCAAATGGGTTTCATTAAAGATAAAGTTGAATTCTGGTCATGCAAGAAGAATTTCATTGTGAAAGAAACTGCATGGAAGCAATTGGATAAGGATAAGCCGATAAGTATTGGTGTATACCGTCATGTTTTGGAATCATCAAAATTATAACAAATTGGTTCAGTTTTGGTCATATGCAATGTACACTCACTTGTGGCATGAAAGTTGCGGTCCACAACCTTCAGTTGTTACTTTTTATATCTCTAATATATGGGCATTTGAAGAGCCATCCTTTTCAGGGGACATTTTTTATATTGGTCTTTTACACTAATATAAAAAGAATGAAAAAGTTCTTGAAATATTTTTTATAAAATTTCATTCCATTACAAATGCAGGCACATATATGTAGCTTTCTGAAAGACTGCATATGAGAGTGCTGCTACATACAACGAATCTTTTGTGAGTAGAACTAACCTTCTTAGATCTTCCAGCATGGAAGTGGCTGCCTCGGACTGACCAGTCTTCAGCTTGAATGCAGTGTTCTCACGTAGTAGAATGTTCAACTCGCTCTGAGAGCCCTGGAGGATCGGGATTGAGAGAAAGAGAGAGAGGGAGGGAGGGAGTGAGGGAGGGAGGGAGAGAGGGAGAGAGAGAGAGAGATAGAGAGAGCAGAGTGATCATATGAGCAACTAGATGGACCTTCGACTGCGCTCAATCGAAAATGATGCCTCCACCATGGAGCAATTTTACAAACCAAAACAAAAGCATTTTTTTAAAATTCAAGTTCGATTGTAAATGTAATCTACTAAAAGATTCTCAGAATAATGTAATTACAAACTATTTTTCATATACATGTATGACCCTTCGATCTTTGACCTCATGAACCTAAAATCTAATCACTTCATTGGCTCTGCAAGATACATGTTTTGAGTTAGACAGTAATCCATCCGTTGGTTCTATTGATTATACGTTCACATCTATTTTCGCATACATAATGAGCCCTATATCCTTTGACATTTGACCTTGTGACCCCAAAATCTAATCAGTTCATTGGCTCTGCAAGATACATACATGACCCAAGTTTGGAGGGAATCCATCGATCCGTCTTTGAGATAACGCGATCATGAGCTATTTTTGCATACATAATGAGCCCTGCGACCTTTGACCCCGGATCTCACGACTCCGAAATCTAATCAGTTCATTGGCTCTGCAAGATACATACATGACCCAAGTTTGGTGGGAATCCATCAATAGGTTCTTCAGAAAACGCGATCACGAGAATGGGACCTACTTTCGGACGGACAACCCAAAAACATATTCCTCTGGCTACTTTGTAGCGGAGGCATAAAAAGTACAACAAGTGATCTTTTACAACTTGAAAAGCATACAGGCAATTTTCAGGTCAAGCCTAATGATTGCAAACAATGCAATACTATAGGTTCCAAAACAACATAAAACTCATACACATCATTTAATTCTGATTAATTGATTGAAGCATCATTTGATTGGGCAACAAGTCCTACAACGCAGAGTCCTATCGGAGGGACTTCTTTTGCCTATCAATGATGGCCCCTTACCCCATGTTCCTTGTACCAGTTGACGGCTTCATCCAGTACACGAATGGCAGACTCCCCATCCTCCATACCCATGTAGAGCGCCACCAATGTCGAGACAATGGCAGGTTTGTAACTGCTGAGGTTCAGAGACTGAAGCACGTCACAGGCCTTGCCGATGTTTCCTGTGCAGTGAGAGAACCGATCATTTCAGACTGTTATTTTGCCAGAATACAAAAGATAGTTTTAAAATATTGAGGGCCTAGTCAGTTTATAGAATGCATTTACATGTCATTGATGACTGTAGTGCCTTCAAGCCTGACAGACAAAACAAATACAGTCAAACTTGCTCTAGTGACCATCTGTATATAAAAACCATCTGCCTATAAAGATCACTTTTTAATTTCCCTTGAATATGGTGTTTCATTAATACCTGTACCTAAAAACCATTCCCTATAAAGACCACATATTTCATTTCCCTTAAATGTCCCTTTTCCCTTAAATATGGTTGATACCTATTACTAAAGAAACCCGTAGTTAAAGGCCACCTGCCGATAAAGACCACTTTTCATGTTTCCCTTGAGCGGTCTTTATATACAGGTTTCACTGCACTACTAATTTCATCAATCACATAACCAGGAACAGACTAAACAATATCAATCTTTCTCACCTTGGAGCAAAAGCAGCTGGGCCACAGTCAGTTGAGTGGGCAAGCCAACACCATCGTGAGAATTGACATATTCCTGTGAAAAGTAAAATCATTTTAATTTGTTAATGTTCAAACTGGTTGTGAAAGTGAAAACTGACAAGGGTAATAAATATTCTGACTTGTCAATACAAGACTCATTGCTGTTTAAAATTCATCATCTTTGCACAGTAAGCTTAATGCAATTGCATTTCTTAAAACCACTTTTTCTTTACTAATATCCAGACAAATATTTTAGCAAGATGCTTTACTTTGTCAAATTCTAATATCTTTATGATATTTTTAGGCAACATATTTCAACATATGTTCTTTTTCTTTTTATAAAATCTTTATTCAGATACAAAATCATGGATGACATCATACATAATTATTTACAAAAAGGAAATCATCACATGTTAAAATAGGACCAAATTATACATCTATATTAACTTGAAAGCAGATTATAAATGCATTTCATGTAAATCATTAATTATCTTCAATCTTCATCCACTTAGTAATATTTGCATATAATTTCTTAGTTTTTTTTCCTTCTTTCATATTTCAACATACAGTCAAACCTGCTTTAGTGATCACCTGTCTACAAAGACAACTTTTTGTGTTTTCCTTGGGCGGTGGCTATAGCCGGTTTTGACCGTAGTATATTGAGTCTATGTGTTCTCACCTGAATGGCCTGGACAGCTTTGGGAATCTGTTTCTGTCGACACAGGAGGCTAGCCTGAAGCAGACACAGCATCTCTTCTCCATAGTCCTGTGGCTTCAGAGTGGCCAGGAGCTTGCTGCACTGCGCGAACTAAACAGTGGAAGAAAGAGGTACAAGGTTATCTTGTTGTAACAATAACAGCATATTATGATCATGCAACAATTTGTGTGCAAGTTCAACATGGTACCCAACACTATACTTCAATTAAAGGTACTATGTCCCATTTGCAGGCCAAAAAAATGAAAAGGTTAAATTCCAACGGCATTTGAAAGATAATACTAATTTAGAACTTTCCTAAAAAAGGTGGGGCTTGAAAATGTCTTCAAGTGGGAAAGTAATGACTATTAGTTGTCAAATCGACTTAGGAGCTATAGAGCCAATAAGTAATAGTCTTGATTTTCAGACCATTGTACCGAATGGTCATATGTTTTATGCTGCACAAAGAATCAATCAGTTTAATTTTGGCCATCACCAGAAGTGGGTTATTGATGTAGACAAATGCTCATGACCTTCACAGCTCATTTTATGTATGTTATTACCAAAGAAGAAAAAAAGCCAGTCAGTCACTCAATAGTGTCTGACAGTGAAGTCTAGCAAGTAAACAGGTTTCCTTGCATAATTTGAATATTAGGACACTGCTAACGTTTAAATTTCACAGATAGGACATACATGACATATTCATAACTCCTGCAAAGTTCTACAGAATTTGAGGTTGGCTGCAAAAGGGACAAAGTACCTTTAAGTTTAGCTTAAAACGGAGTTGCAACTTAAGCAATAACTTAATGCTTGGTATGCAGATTTTAGACAGAAAAGACAACTCTACTGGTAAACATCAGTATTTCAATGGCTTAATATCAGTATTTTATGAGTGGATCAGTGTTTTTCTAAAATAGAAAAGAATAAAATGCAGAAACTGGATCACTATATTCATTCCCTAAAGATATTTTCAGTGTTGTTATCAAATCTCACTAATTCCACTCATACATTAATTTCCACCTGAAACCTTGTTCTGGGGTCAAGGTTTAACTCACCTGGTTGGTGTAGAGCAGAAGCAGGAATCTATTGTAGACCATGAGTGACTTCTGACCCTTGGTCAGCTTGTTTTCCAGACCAGGAACAGTGGTAGCCTTGACCTTCTTCTTAGAATCAAACACATTTTGTTCCTGAGGATATCAAGAGAGAATGATGGGAAGAGAAAAATATGATGAAAAATCAGCTGTTAAAGGTGAAATTTGAAGGTATTGTCCACCATTTGTAGGCATAGAAAAACATTAAAATGGCAAATTCCTTCCCTTTAAAACACAAACGCTGAATTTGTTGTTCTCACATAAATTTGAAATTTTAAACTTTCCTCCCTAAAGAAACCCTTTAGAGGCTTTATATGACTTGATGGTCTGTTTATTAGTTTGTTTTCACCGAATTGCTAAGAAAGCAATGTGTATGTATGTTGGTAAGCAGTCCTCTCTGAGAGACTTGGTACTGAGGATTAATGCATTACCAAAGGGCACAACTACATCGATTTGGTTTCAAACGTCGGGACCTCCCATTTACAAGACCACTCCTCTACCACTGAGCCAATGCACCTACTTAATGAAAACTGATGGTAAGGGTACAGAGTAACCATTGAAAGTATAAAGTGTATATTAGGTACACTGTACATTCGAAAAATAAAAAGTTTTTTAACAGTAAATCAAATTCATAATCTCACAACTAACCTTGTTCAGCGAGATGATATTTGCAGAAGCGACTGCCATTAGTCCAATGTCCGAAGGCCTGGAAATATTAATAAAAAACAAACATATAATAGACAGTTCACAAATTGTGCACTATCTTCTTAGGAAGAGGCAAAATAAAACCTGAATAACTGAAGTGAAAGGAAGTATTGTATAAACACAAAACTGATTATCATATTTTCTCTCATTTTAAAGTAGCTTTTAAACTCAGACTTTTTTTTTTAAACAGTAAAAAATCCAAAAAAAAATCAAAAAAAAAAATCACTTGACTCATTTAGACTTTGAAGGGTAATGCAATTCAGATGACACACAGAGAAAGTGATTATGCATTCAATACTGCCATTCCTTAGGTACCAACTGCAAACAAAAACACAATTTCAGGCAATGGACATGACACATATTTCCTGACAATTTATTTGACAATTTATTATGCAACAACTGACCATCAACGATTAAAATTCAAAATCATCATAGTAGTATATAAATTTCATTTCAACAGCATGTTTGGAGATACTAAAAATCTATGGATGGGTTGGTTAGTTAATCATTTACTCATTCACTACTTAGCTGCCAGTTGTTATCATTTTAGTTCTCACCTTGCTTTCACCACCTGGTTATAGAGCTTGAGAGCTTCATCATTCTTGCCTTGTAGCTGTAGAACATAGGCTCTCTGGACATGGATCACACCCAGTTCGGCTTCAACATCATCCTACGTGACATCAAAATACATGATCAAATAGTATACAAATAATGAACGGTTATGAGTTTAATAGTGCGAATATTTTCATGAGTTGAAAGATTAACATTCTATTCAACGAGGCGTCAGCTGAGTTGAATAGAATTAACGTTAATCTTTCAACGAATGAACATATTTGCACTATTGAACAAATGAAAAACATTCATTATTTGTTTTATACAACATCAAAGAAGATCTAATAGAACGTTAATCAACAAATTATGCTTTACTCCTTATATTTATTAAAGTTGGAGTCAAGCCTTCTCGATTACATACATTCAGATTGCCTTCGCATCAGATACACACAGGGATACGCGCACGGCAGAGAGGTACGCAGTCTGTACATAACCAAAAATGCACTCTGCAAAACGTGGGGGAAAGATCATTTGCATACTCTAGTCCTAAATTATGGAATGGCCTTCCTGAAGACATCAAAAAATGTTTATCTTCTGATTCTTTCAAAACTCATCTCAAAACATTCCTTTTCAAGTCTTGATCGTTTTTCCTGTTTACACGCGCCTTGAGCACTCCACAGAGTGGATTTGGCGTGATATAAGTTACATTATTATTATTATTATTATTATAACCAAAAATGCATGCCCATGCAATAGAACATCTATTGAATATCATGTGACCAACAATCCTCCAATCACATGACAAGGATCCACGTAGGTGTTGTATAATATGTATTATATACTGCGTATGAAGATTCTAGGACCGGTCATAGTTCCGTTATGTACGTATAACATAAGGACGCAATGGTTGTGCATGAAGTCAACAATTGATAGGTGCAGTGAGACACCAATGCTTTTAGACAGGTAAATTTCCCTATAATCTGCAATTAAATACATTTTCACAGGCATATTTGTTAAAATATCTCTTTGTGTACAAATTAGCGATTTCTTATTTGTGTATATGTAATTTCTTTCATACAGGTCCATTTAATATACTGTACATTTTAATTTTTTATATACAATGAAGGAAAGAATGGAAATAACAAATAAATGTTGCCAAATTGAGGAGTAAAGGTGATTCCTTTAGACCTATCGAAACGACTTACATCCTCTTCCATCATCTCACGGCAGAGTTGCTCAGCCTGGACTAACCGTTGAAGGGCTTCTGGGTAGTTTGCTTGACCAATCAGCAAACAAGCTCGATTAAAATTCAGCTCCCAGGTGTCATCTGCCAACCCTGGATCCTCCTAAATTATGGGAAAATAAATTATTTTTAGTCATTTATGAGGATGAAAATGCAAAGAGCACTATACTACTTAAAACTTGCAGGGATTTGGTGAGATTATCTAGAAGTCAAGGCTCGTTGACATGTGCTGTGGTAAAACGTAATAAAAACGTTAATTTACCACAGAGTTTTTTAAAGTATACATAGGTGTATAAAGCACTAGACATGTTTGTTTCTCATAACAGACAGATTAGTGAGTACACATAGGGCAGTGATAGCGCACGGCTGCCTTTATCACTTTCAATTGCCATTCATTTAGAAATATGTGAACAAGCCTGAAGTCTACATATCACATAGAGGAGTCATCTCTGGAGCAAGACGTCCTAGGTTTGAAACCAGCTCAGTATCTTTTTTTAATCATTGCATAGCATGGCAGCGATATTGAATTTCCTGCGTTGTCCCTAAAATAGGACAGATATCCATAGACCCTATGTCGATTGGTATTTACCTACAACACTGTAGTAGCATTGAATTCTTTCACTAGTACCTCATGAGGTAAAATGTACACAATGCACTCATATAACACCTTACTGAATTAAGTCTTACAATGATTCAACATTATCTGTAAAGTTACCCTCACCAATGAATAAGACTCCAACGATTATTTAATCTTGTGAATTGATTCCATTAGAACTATTTCATGGATTTCTTGTTTTGAATTCCTAATATGAAGATACAAGAAATGAATGGCTTTATGCTCTTACCACATCCTTATTCTCCCAGAGTTTGAGGCCAGCAATGACTGCAGATAGATTGGTCTGTCTCTCTTCTTCATAATCATCCTGGAGACCAAAAAAAAATATATATATACCCGGTACATACATTTTTTTTTACCATCAATTCAATTCAATTTTTGTATTCATTTAAATTCACAAGAATATAAGAACACTTGTTTTGGTCACACATTGTAAAAATACGTAATAGATATATGAAAAACTCTATCAAAAAGTCTGTATAAAGATTCCAATCAGTCAGCTTCATTTCTGTTAAAAATTTCAAATTGGCTTTTAATTGGGTAACAAATAGTCCTAAATAAGGGAATAATAATTATGCAAACTTTTGTGCTATGAGGATATGTGAACGATCATGAATGCCTTCATCCAGAAATATGTCATGCGCAATTTCTATACTAATGTTTTATTTCGCTGTACATCCTAGCTAAGGCATTTGTCATATGATTTTCAAAACATTAAGTTTCACTTCAATCACGCCCCAGGTATAATTCTTACATAAAAACAGAAGCTATCATACTGTGAAGATGTATATGCCTCTTTTCAATCTACATGAACATGTACATAACACACAAATTTACACAGGATCAGTCAAACACACTGGATCATAAGAAAGCTTTTAATTAAAGCCCAGTAATTACTTTTTGCTAGTTCCAACTTCATGTATAGCATTAGCAAATTAAAGTAACACAGGAAAGTGGTGTTCACACTTACCGATGTATTTTTGATCAAGTTCTTGTACACACCAACACATTCACTGTATTGTTCAAGCCGGTACAGCTGTAACAAGAGAGAAAGAGAGAGAGAGAGAGAGAGCACACATCATGATACTAAATCCTGATTTCAAGCTAACACTACAAATAGTTAAAGGCGGACTTTTAAAAAGGTGTTATGACACACAAAAATTATATTATACAACAAATCAAAGATATTTGAATAGTTCAGAAATATCTATTCATTCTATGACCATTTATTTATTTATTCATGTTTTCTTTCTTAAAATATGAAATACACCATTTTAAATTGTTGATGCCTGTACACTTAACTCTTCTGAGTCTTATATGTTATAACAAGAGGTCAGTGCAATTGCACAAGTTCTTTGTTGCATGCAGTTGTCATTTGTGTTGCACATACAAAAAATGGCTTTTTTGCGGTGGTTACCTGCACAATATCTGAAAAAGCCTTTATACCTCTAATCTATTTTAAATGTCTGGTAAAGGAGAAACTTTAAAGGCACACTGTCCTACTTGTAGCTACTTGCTCCCTCTATATAGAAAACTTCCCCAATCGGTGCCTGTTGGTTCCCCATGATCCTCTTTTTCTTATGTTAAATGAGAGCTGAGTTAATGAGATAGCCACTTGTCACAGTGACCTCGCTGGCTCGCTGGGCGGTCTAATCCCTTCTGGCTGAAGTAGTAAAGCCTGCCTTTAAGAGAAAACCATTACTGACAAATGCTAGATGGGATTAGCTATCTAGGTTTTTTAAGTCCTTTTCTAAGTCCTTCGTTGTGTGCAGTTGCCATTCACGTTACACATACAAAAAAACTGTGGCGTTTTTTTTTATGATGTTTTACTGTGCCATATATATGAACAAGACATTTCTTAGACCCCCCCCCCTCCCTCCCCCAATTAATTTTACTCATTCTCTACAAAGTTAGTCAATGCCTCCATCTTACCACTTGGCCAAGCAGCTCTTGTAGCTTTGGGCTTGGGTCTGAGACATTCCTGATTGTCGACAGTGCTTCTGAAATCTTGTTAAGTCGATACTGACAGTATGCCTTCTCAAATGACAACCCGCTGTATCAAACAATGGAGAGAAAAGAGAAGACAGCAGTCAATGACATGACATGGCAAATCATCCTCAATTGTGGAGAGATTACAAAGAAACAGAATCCCATGAAGAGTTTTGTATGCCACTTTTCCTTTATATGTGCACAGGGCACATGATTAAAGGAATAGTTGAGTGTTGGTCAATACTCACATTAGCGAACGAAACTATGATCTAAACATAAAAAACATACAATAAATGTCTAAGAATGCATCATTGAAGATATAAATCCGAAATATTACATTAGAGTGAATTTATATGCAAAAAACCTGTTCGACTGCAAATGATTTTATTTATCAAAAATTTTACTTTCGAGGCGTGTTCAGTGTAATTGTATAGCGCCACCTCTCGGTCAAGCGGCAGCACACCGTGAATTTTCGCCAAGACGACGATCGGATATGGGCGTGCAAGTAATATCCGAACCATGTCTATAGCGCGCTGACTGATTTATATTGTACACATTATGGTATGCGAGGCCTGCACATAATTGCATGGTCTGTGGTACTGGTAGCGCTATTGTTTTTGAGCGCGATATGCGAATACTGTATGTGTATGTAGTGCGAGTACGCTCGACCTAGTAGTAGTGTATGTGTATGTATTGTACGTCGTATGACCCAGTTGATTACTTCTACAGTGTAAAGAAAGTGGCTTACTCTATCTATCAACCAATATGTGAGACAACGCAAGGGCAATTTTGTATTTCGTTTGTAGGAACAAAGCTGTGGAATGATCTCCCAGATGAAATTAGATTAAAAACATCGAGGTTATCTGTCCACCTACCTTCTATGTAAATGACGTGGGCCTTCGTTTTTCCTTTTATATTACTTGTCTTCCTTTTATATGTGAAGAGTTTCATTCCAAAAGGAGCCAAATCCACTTTGGGTACTTCTGAGTAAATTGCCTTTTTTATTTCTCCACTTTCCCTTTAGCCATGTATACCTTCATGTTGTTATATATGTTAAAGGTGTCACCCTGCATGGACCTGATTATCTGCCAATAATGATAAGAAAAAATCTTCCCTTCGGCTTTTCTGATGTTTACTAAATTTTTAGATTTTTTATTTTCGTGGATTTAGCTCCTTTTGGAATGAAACATGTTATTGTACCTAAAAAAATAAAAAATAAATCATATTTTCTCAATAAAGTCACTGAAATTTTATTCAAATTTAGCAGCAAACCTTTCCTTTTAAATAATAATAGTGAAATCACACATAAATATAACCTTTCGAAAAGAAAGTAAACAACATTATTACAGTTTCATTCCAAAAGGAGCTAAATCCATTCAATTCCAAAAGAAGCTAAATCCATGTTTCATTCAAAAAGGAATTACTAAATCCACATTTTTTTTTGGCACATATCGCACGACAACCAAATGCCCTAAGATGTTGATACCCACTTTGATAGAAAAATAAGGTTTTACAAAATGGAAAAATACTAGAAGAAAAAAGGTAAGAAAGAGTAAAGACGGATTGAGGACGGTAAACCCCAAACAAGAGACTCCAAAGATCTACCCCAGAATCCTCTCACCGGCACCAGAGTTGCCTAGGCCAATGATGGCCGAGAAGATTGCGCAATGTACCGCGCCGGTCTGGCAGGAAGGTGCCAATTGCGGTGAGGGGTTTTCATGGACCAGTAGATCTGAGATTATTATTATCAAAAAAAAGAGATGAATATGAATTGACAAATAGTACCAAAAATAGAAGAAAAAAAAAGAAATAAAGTGAAAGGCGTAAATATTCTAAAAAAGAATGAAACGCCGATAATACCAAACAACAACAACAACAACACAAAATCTAAAAATTTGATAGAAATCAGAAATAACTGGTGGATTTTTTGTCTTATCATATGTTATAGGTCCAGAGCGACACCTTTAACATATATAACAACATGAAGGTACATGGCTAAAGGGAAAGTGGAGAAATAAAAAGAAATAAATTTAAAAAAATATTAAAAATTGTTGTATCAGTATACTATAATGAATAACAGTAGTGAATTAATTTAACATCTTACTTGATTCATACTTGTCCATAATGCAGTGTTTTTTAGTATTTTTATTTTGGTACTGCATGCAATTGTAAAGTTTAAAAAAAAAAGTGATTGTAACTTCTTGTAAATAAGTTGTGTTCTACAGTGCCTGTGTATTGCATGACCTACGTCAGTACGTGATAACTTGTAAATGTGTTAAGACATAAGATTTTAATATAATTATAGTAATGCTAAAATGAAGATACATAACATATTTTTATGGTGTACATTGAAAGCTTTATTCGGCCATAACTAACAGTTAAATTTACACAACATTATTCAGATGAATACAAATTATACTTGCTGTACTGAAGGCAATATTTAAACGTGATGTTGATTCCAACCATTGCATACAAACAGATCATGTGTATTAAAAAAGGCACATTTTTATTTAGCATCTATCGCTATGACAACTTTAACCGTCGTCATTAAGAAGGAGCAATATACTTTATTTGTATACCACCATGTCTTGTTACTTATTAGTTACTGCTTATTTATATACATCTTATCTTGTGTCTTTCATAAAAACTTGACATTCTCTATAGGCAATGTGTAGATAAGTTTACCAAAGAAAAGTATCTATAACAGTAATGTTTCTACGCGCTTGACAAATATACTATTACCCCGGTCATTTGATTCAGTGCTTGCCCGCACACAATGTTTTGACTAGTACGTGATCATACAAATTTTGCCGAGAAACTGCCTACTAATTGATATATTTGGTAAATTATTATATCTATTTGGACTTGATAGATATAACGCATGTGTCGCGCACTTGTGCGTAGTCCCATATACATCTTTCTGTGTACAGTGCTTGTAACTTTACCAAGACTGGGCCAATCTTTTTATCATTTCGATGATTCTAGAACCTTACAGTACACACCAAGACTTATATGCTAGATGATCAACCTTTTCTGATCGATTCCACAACAATCCTTTCACAATGCAGTCGCATGACCATAACTGGTTTTATCTTTTAAGTTTCACATCTTACTTTATATATAAATGCTTTAAAAATTGTCTGAGTGATTCGTACGAGTATACATGTATACATACTCCATATCGATCTCAAATCCTGAATCACATCAGTTTCAGCACAAAATTAAGTAATATGTCTTTCATCTTCCCTAATGCTCGACTATGAATATCACCTCAAGTGATTAACATCCAACATAAGGTTTTTCAAAAAAATAGCACAGACATTTCAAAACTGGTCATGTCCTATACGCACACAAAAGACAATTCTGCGTTGTGTGTACTGAGTTTCATATGAATCGATCAAACTACTTCCAATAGTTTGCTCACATACTTATTTTACACACTGCACATGCATTGAGTTTTATACTGTTATTATAATGCCTCATCAAAGATACCAAAACTATAAAATTGCTAAAACTTGGAAAGAATATGCTCCACAAGATTATTAAAACAAAATTGTATTCTTTGTGCAAAGCTTGGTTACCATGGAGGTACCTTAACAGACAGACACAACAAATGTGTCTTGCACACCCTCGGGTCAATCGGTATACCAAGTTTTATTACAATTTGCGTAAAAATTGGAAAAAATTTGACCCAGTTTTTTACAATAGACCAACAGAAAGACTCGCCTGCCCAACTGTATCCTTATTCCTTTATACACCCTTTCAAACTACAAAGTAGTTACAGGCAGCATATCTCTTGATGGTATAACCTTGAACCGCAATACTTTGGCGTTGAGCTGATTCACGTTCATTGATTCAAATGATGCATGAAACCAACTGTTTTGCTGTCTTGTGATCATTTCTCTTTTTCGCTTGCATTATTTTAGTCACATTGATTGCATTAAACAAAAAATGAAGACTATTTACAATAAGATATTCTACAAATCTTTCTTCTGTCCATGTTGATTTTCAACAGGTTCCGAAGTATAGTCTTTTTCATGATCGACTGTCACCTCAGTTACATGCACAGTCACTAAAACCAAACACATTGTTGACTCATGGTTTGACCTCTTGGCTGTAAATTTTATAATTACTACCGTAACTTCTTCAAGGAATATAGGTTGCCAAATAGATACAAATTGAAATATCCACCATTTCCACATGAGCAAGCACTGATTTTATCACAAATTATGAATTGTATAAATCACATAGAGCTTTTATACACTGATGTCACAATTTGTCTTTTATATTCCTACATTTCTTCCATTTGTAAACTTGCCAACCTCTTATTGTAATACAATATACAAGTGCCAAGCATGGTGGCTAATCTAGCAACAATAACAATTTATTTCTGGTACATGTATATCATGCGTTATGTGACTTTTTTTTATACTGATAGATAACCACATCCCCATGATCCCCAGGGACACTCTAGTATCAAGTTTGGTGGTATTTTGTCAAAGGGTCTCTGACATATCAAGAATACATGCTCGTAATGCTAAGCCATGCAATCTTTCACCTCCGGACCACAAAATCATTAGCAACCAAATGAGTCCAAAATGTTAAGTTCCAACCAATCCTCAAGATAGCCTAAAAACATGCCACATGGACAAATTAAATCGAGGCGATTAAGAGTCTTGCATGCAATCATGCAATCATGCAACAATGAACCTCATTTGACCTTTGACCTACTTATGTGACCTTCAACTCCAGAATATCATGGAGGCCAATAAAGGGCATCTACATGTACCAATCAAGTATGGTTACAAACAGATGCAGGGTTGGAAAGTTAGCAACCCTAATTGATTTTTGCAGGTAAGATTTCACATTAGACTTCATTCAAATTTGTGTACAGTCACGGAGGATGGACGGAAGGACGCCATTTGGATCCCTTAGTCTCTGCTCGAAAAAAAGCAGTTCTCAAGTCAGACAATCCCAATTGTTCACTACAGAGGATTACATGGATTTCTCTAATCGGCCTAGTCTCCTGGCTAGGATCACATCAAGTTGTGGTGGAGGAAATGGTGCAAGCCTGGGCCTTGTGTGTCTAGGGTCATCAGGGAGCAGAACAGCCTTCGAGAACAGTGGTCCTTGGTCCTGTTCTCTGCGTTCCAGTATCGCACCGATGAGTCCTTGTACATACATGTAGGGGTAGGTCTTGGGGACCTTCTCCTTCCGGGCCACGTAGTTGTTGGCACGCTTTGACCATACTGCAACATATCTGTATCATAAAATAAAAGAACATGCAAAATGTAACAAGTTGCATTATATTGCACAATCATTCTTGTCAATTGGAAATGATTCATATCTCTTAAAGATAAACTTAAGTTCTGGTAAAAAAAGAAAATGAATTCTCACAGAATCTAACGAAACTTACACTGAATGTTCAAGATTACAAATAAATGTCATGTGCCAAACAATTTTGGAAGAAAATGTATACTGGCTGAGTAATGAGCATAGAAAGATAAGGAAATCAGGGTAGTACTAGCCCCGACAGGCCGACACCATGTGTGTTGTCCCATATACATCTTTCTGTGTAAGTGATTGTTACTTTACCAAAACTCTGCCAAATTTATGATGATTTTGATGACTCCAGAACCTTGCATTACACACCAAGTATATTATTACACTGAATCCAAGTCCGCATTTAGGGTCCAAAATCAGCAGCATGATTGACAAACCATCAGCTTACAGTCCGTCATCTACATAATTTAGATGTGCGTCGTGTACAGGGACAACTTCTTTAGATGACGTCATATTTTGGCGATTTAAAAGGGGCGTTCCCAGGAAGGACAATTAGATATTTAATAATTTCCCCAAAATTGATAAATTTCATGGGAAAGAACTGCCAATTCGGATTGCCCTGTCCAACTACACAGGGAAAACAAAAAATCATGTTTTTTTTTTTACTCCACCCACTTTGGATTGCCTTGTCCATCTAAAAAAAAATGTACAAATAAAAATAGGAAAAACAAGAAAGAAAAGAAAACCTTTTTTTCTTTCTAATTTCCACTCACTTTGTATTGCCTTGTTCATCAATCTGGTCGGGCCTGTCCTTGTGTGCCATGTAGTCGATGACCGCAAGCAAATTCCTTGCCCGGTTTGCTGGGTAGCTGGATGGATAAGACAAACAATTGGTATTACCACTACCATGATGAATGAATAGTAAATGCTTTAGACAAATCTCAGACTCATTGGCCCGTAGTCACAAAGGAGGTTTGTAGGAGGTTTGTACAAACCATGGTTTGACGATGGTTTACATCTATGGAATGCTGTTCGCATACCGTAAATTGTAAATTAACATTGTTAACAAGTATGGAGTTTACATTCCTTCTCCATCAGTTTACAAATGGCATTCCATAGATGTAAACCTTGGCCAAACCATGGTTTGTACAAACCTCCTTTGTGAATACGAGCCATTCACTTCAGTTCTGGATTTGTGTTGTAAATTATTGACTCTTAATTAAAGGTAGTTACATTTCCCTGCTACAACCACTCCAACTTGACTTAACATCAGGTACCGACACAAGTACGATACAAAGTCTGCTGTTTCAAGACTCTGCATGCATCCAAAAGTGATTTCAGCATTTATATAGATGTCATTCATAATTTCTCATTAACTTTGCTATTTGCTTCAAAATATGATATTGTAACTGTAACCGTACTGTAATGATATGTTTCAACTTTTCCACAGACAATCTTACTTCAAACATACAAAATGATACTAAAAATACTTACTCAAAGGAATACCGCTTGGAAGCATACATCAGTATGTGGTTGTGGAAACACTCGAGCATGCTGGTGTGCCTAAGGAATTATGAAAACAAAATAAAAACTGATATAAATGATAGGGCATTTCATTATTTTCATACCACAAAATCAATATTGAAAATCCCATGTCATACACATGAGCAAATAAGATGCATTATCTTGACCTGCTGATATGTCCCAATTTTATAGGTCATAACCGAAAAAGAGCTCAATCTTGCAAACATGTACGTAATGAACGCATTCTCATTAAATTCCTCTCAATTTACAGAGCCTTTCGTACATGTATACAGAATCCTACCTGAAGCGAGCAAATCAGCAGAGTAGGCCAAGTTCTCCATGAATTTGCGGTCAAAGGTGACTTGTACTACCGTATTCACCTGCTAATTCCCCTACTGCTGCTTGGAATTTCTTCGCTGGGGATGGATTGTGTTGTCTGTTCTTCATATCTGTAAAAAGTGAAGAAATGAAAGTCATTCACAAAGTAAAAAACATTCAGATTTTAAATCACCAAAAGAAATTATTTTGAAGATGGCATTCTCTAATAATTATCACAGCTAGCCAGATTTGGAATTTGCATGACTAATAACTGATGCATTGGTTCTCTGTCATGTAGGTGAAGTTGAGACACTCTTTGGTAGAGATAAATATAGATGAGACAGTCACATCTCAAGCAAGCTATAGTACAACCTTGTCGACTTTTAAAAAGAGCAGGATGTTTACCCGGTTGACTAGCCCTGCACGTCATCATTACGAAGAAAACTGCAGTTGTAACGAGGGACATTAAAGGTAGGGTCTATTACAAAGTTTTGGGAAATTTTGAAAATTGGGTGGATAGTGATTCTTTACAATTTTGATATATTTGGATGCCCCTGTGGAAGTATTATAAGCACTAGAAAATTTAGCTCCTAAAACACTTCTGCTTTCGAAAAAAATTGAATATAAAAATTTACCGGTGCTCCCGGTAAATTTTGATAAATTTAAAATAGCGCCTACGGTCGTACAACGGTAGCTGCTACCATAAAAATCCCGGAATATGTAGTTGTGATATATAATTTCAAAAAGGTAATAGCCAATCGGTCAATTGTAGCTTGTTGTATAGGTGAATTAATATATTGACCTTGAGAGAGAGTTATAGTATACCCCATAAAGAGATTATTATTTACAATTTCATCACTTTAGACTCGATTTCAACGCGACAACGTTCACTGAATATTGTAGGATCGCATATGCTTCCAATATTTTCATTTGAACCAAATTCATCCGGAGGTCTAGTGGAGCCAGACGTAGTCTCAGTGGAACAACCGACGATATAGAGACTGAAGCTTTCGGTCTACTGTAGACCTAGGCTAGACTATCAATATCATATGATTCATGAAATCTGAATTAAAAATCCAAGGCAAGAGATAACAAAACGTAATTTCTTAAATTTGCCGATTCCATGCATCTAGTCTCTAGACTAGATCAAATTAAAACGGTAGGCCTACCCAATGCAGTGGGGCGTATATCATTTCAACTTACCTCTCAGTGAGCTGGCATAGCCATAGGGTCTATGGCATCCTCTAGACTCGGCAACGAGAAGGCCGCCTGCAGCTCGCGAAGTTTCTCCGCCGTACCCTGGCCTTGTTCACAGCCACTCCCGCGCCTCCTCTGGGCCGGATGGTCGAGCTGCCATTGCTTGTTTCTCTCCTTCCTCTTACCGTCTTACTTAGTCTTATTCCGATTTAGCGTAGCCTTAGCACTAGCTGAGTCCGAGTCGGCCATCGTCCGTGACCTCGAGCTCCTTTTCCAATCTCGATCTCGTTATCGTATTTCAATCAAAGCTTGTCTGTAGCTGTCTAGCGTTCGATCGGCGCCGGTGATAATCTGATCTGAGCTGTGCGTGTTATACTTTACGTGAAAGCAGCGTATTGGAATTGATCAGCTGTACTGTATTACTAGCGCGCGGTCGGATACCCGCCTGCTAGCTACCTGTACTGTACGTACCAACGAACTCAAACACTCGTTGTAAATACGCTGGTTGTTTTGTTAAATGACATAGAGGGAGCTAAACACGTAAATTCAAAAAATAAACCGTCGAAAGTCAAAAGTGATGTCCGGACGTCAAACACTTTTATATAATGTTTTGAAAGCAAATTGCACAACAATTAGAGCATTTGATTTGGAATTATTATCATCTCCCATGTTTTTTTCGATGATCTTTCATATGGTACTGAAATAAACCAAATCTGTTTTGGAGGGGCACTTTGGAAATTACCAATACTCAACTATACCTTTAAGTTTCAAACTAGGCCTGTAACAGATAATCGGATCGGTGGCCGATCTTGAGCCGATCAGGGGTGATTGGATAATAATTTCCGATCACCGATCAACAAAAAAGATCGGACAAAAATCAGCAGAACTTTTTTTTTTTTTTTAATGCTGAAAATGTTCAAGTTTTTGGCTATCAAGTGCTTTAAAAAAAATCAAAGCTTGAATTATTTTGTCATGTGGAGTTGTTGTAGACCATGTTTGTTGATATTTAGCGCCTTTTCATGACTTTGAAATTAATAATATTGGTCTAAGAGAAGATGCAAAACATGCGGGCCACCATTTTGGATTATAATGCATGCCTACATTCAAAATCATGAAAAGGCACTAAATATCAACAAACATGGTCTACAACAACTCCAAATGACAAAATAATCCCAGCCAAGAATTTTTTTGAGCATTTGATAGCTAAAAACTTGAAAATTTTCGTCATTAAAAAAAAAAAAAAAAAAAAAAAAAAAAAAAAAAATCAGCTGATTTTTTTGGTTGATCTTCCGATCCGATACCGATCAAAGGTGCGAGAGTGTCGCTCGGATCTTCCGATCCAATCAGAGCCCCAACTTTCAGGGTTATATCGAACCTTGCAATGAATATAAGTAACACTGTTTTAAATGAATAAGTTTAAAATACACAAATTTGTTGAAGTTATAAGATTAAGCATGAATTTGATGACGAATATGTCAGATGACTATAATGTACGACTGTGAGGATGATATCTGTTTATGATTATATGACACTGAATAATATATTTAGTCCTTCAGTGATAGCAATAGTGAAGATTATCTATCATTTGGTGATAGAGTCTACTGATGAAGATGATACAAGCGATTCTTCTCAAAATAGAAAATAATGACAAAGCTGGTTCTCATTACAAGGATTCTCACCTGGCTAAATTGGGATTGTTGACAATCTCTTTGACAGCAATCTGGAACTGAGACTGATGAATCAGACAAACGATCTTGCACTTGAAAGCAGTCTCATCTCCTCGGTTAGCTTTCAAAACTGAAACGAACAAAAAACAAAATTATAAGAAATCTTTGGCTTTAAAGATAAAGATCAGTTCTGGTCATGCGATTGCATTGTGAGAGAAACGTTGTGGAATCGATCAGAAAAGGTTGATCATCTATGTAGGTATTGGTGTGTACTAAAAGGTTCTGGAATCATCAAAATGATAAGAAATTTGGCCCAGTCTTGGTAAAGTTACAAGCACTGTACAAAAAAAGATGTATATGGGACTACGCACGCGTGCGCGACTTGGATATCTATCAGGTCTAAATAGATAAACTACTTTAGACTCTACCAAATATATCAATAAGTAGGCGTCTTCTCTGCAGAATTTCTGAATTTGTATCATCACGTATTTAGTCAAAACATATTCTTTCACATGATTGGTAATAAGAGCTTCCATTTCATTTTTTTGAGAGGAGGGTGTTTCCAAAACTGGTCTTTACCTTTAAGTTCCATTGATGATATAAACTAAATTCTCAAAAAATGAAACAAAATTCACACTAATTGTTGAAGACTGCAAAAATAAATGTTATACTTCCCGATCAGCCACTTCGTATTCATTGTGTGCATTTTTTCGCAGCGCATGCGCTGAAGCCCAATGTAAAATCATGTACATAAATTTGGTTGCAATGCGTAGCGAGACACGACAGAGCAGAAGAAAATCAGCAGCGGTTTCTTGACTTCAGTTTTTCTAGAGGTCTACATCTAGACTCTACATGATTAGGCAAATTCATGCAAAAAAATATATTCAAAAAATTGACTTGAAAACACATCACACAATTAGTCTGAACCGAGTCAGGAGCAAATTTGAAGAAATTATATTTTTAAATGTTGTAAAACCAAAGATATAAGAAGAAAACTGACCAAGTATCTGTACTAAAAATCGTACATGTAAAATTGGTCGTACACATTCGACAGCTGAATATGACGCGCACGGTTGCATTACGTGCGTTCTCGAATCCAAAATCGTACCTCACACACACACTCTCGCCATACCGCGAATGGTCCGTCGTGGGGAGCTAGCCGGCAGAGAGTTTGCAGCGATACCAATTCAGCTTCGGAGCTCCGCAGCGCGCCATTTTAGCGGGACTCGGAAAGGTTTGCGATGGGAAGGCAGCGGCCTAGCTTTTTGCCCAAACAACTCTAGATCGGCTGCTGGCAAAATGAAAATAACTACGATTGAGAACATCGTCTGTTTCTTAACTTTTCAGTGAGATAATTCTGAATTCTAATTGAGACTATATAATAAATTAAATCGACAAAGAAACCTCGGTAGAACTCTTATAACTATACAAAAGCTTGTTTATTTCTTCATTTGACATTTTGTTTTCGACCATTTTTTCGTGCGCGAGTCAATGTAAACTATGTATTACCAAACTTTCAACACGCAAGGAACAGGGAACACTCGCGGACCTCGTAACAAATTCATTGCAAAAAAAAATTTTCAAGGGTGATTTTGAAGCAGTGAAGAACATTGGCGCTGCAATGCGCAGAAATATACTTGAAAGAAACTTAAAAAATAATACCTGAATTTTCAGAAAATCGTATTTGTATTAGTCTAGTGTACCTAGATGTGACTTGTTTATAAATCAGATTTTATGAAGATTTGTCGGGAAAAAATGTCAACTTTTTCTGTTTGGTGGTCATTTCTAGGCTAATATTTTAAAAGTTGCATCAGTAATGGGCCCGATGTTTCTCTTATCGTACTCGCATGTTATTTCTACATATAGAGTAAAGGAGCCCGTTTTCGGCCACTTAAGACAAAATCCTATTTTTAGGACTCTTTACTTCCTATTTATTATCATTTCTTGTTCAAATCATGAAGCAAATATTATTATTATTTAAACAAAAAAAGAATCCCAGAAAAAAATCACGAATTGCCATGACAATATTCATTTCAATTTTCACTGTTTTGGAGCCGGTTATCGGCCGAGCGTTTCAGTTTACGGCCGCATGTACAAAGTCAATAGGAAGCGCTCGCGCGCGCCGTGCGTTTCCGCGCTGATGTACAGCACAAGCGGGCGGAGCAGGTATCCCACGCCTGAGCTCCCTGGTGCTCGCCTGGCCGAAGACAGGCACAGCGGTGATCGGAAGTTGGAATCTGAATTAGACAGAGATATCATGTGTGCGTCGCGGTGTGCGGCTGCATTGATTTAATACATGCGATGAGATACTTTTGAGCTTGCGACTAGCACAAAATCGGGCTCTAAATCTGAAAAATACTTGAAATAAAGCTCATTTTATGGTACCCATATTTCTTACAGACATGCGTAAGATACTTGATTTTTCAGATTCGGGTAGCAGGACCGGCGATTACTTCGCTAAAATGTGATATTTTAGGATATATTTTTCATTGCAAATGTGGTTCTTCAGTGACACTGGCATGGTATGTTATGTGTGGGATATGTGTTACGCTATTATGCGATGTATTTTAGAGTGATTTTACCTTGTATCCAACCAATCGGCCGAAAACGGGAGCTGGCCGATTACGGGCTCCTTTACTCTATTAAACATAGGATGGTTAAGGGTAAGACCAGATAACATTATAAAAAAGATATATCCTTCCACCCTCCCATATCCAAGTTTTGGGCTGATTATTGCTGACCCACCGCAGCAAGGCCATTCAGATTTTCGTACGCGCGCAAAGCGCCCTCTAGTGCCTAACATGATTTTGAATTTGAGCCGTGAATCAGCTGGAAATTATAGAACTGAATTATTACGGTCATTTACGGTAATACTATGATTTTGTTGGAGCATCGAATTTAAAGGTATAGTATTTGAACAATAATTTTCATTTTCTCCCATTTGTTTTGTACACGTGTGTACAAAATTGATGCCTCTCACTCAGCACGTATACAGCGCTAGATGTCAATACGCATTGACTCTCTGTGCTTTGCTGGAGTGGAGACAGCCGGTAGGCTAGAATTAGTAGAAAGCGCTTAATACTTACTCTTGTTGGCTACATTCAGTGCCCTGGGGTTAGTGTAATCAGCATTTTGAGCAAACTTGTTCAATTCGTGGTAAAGGTTTGCTAAATTCACTTCGGGAGCCTTTTGTTTAGACATTTTGAACGTGGATTTTCCCTTTCCTTCGCTCCGCTTCGTGTCGTATAGCATTGGCTGAAGTTAGTTGAACGGTTGTCCAAGAGAACGTTAATTGGTGTATGGTATCTGTGAAAATAATTATTCATTCAATTTTTTAAATATATCTATTCCCTCCTTCCCCCCCCCCCCCCCCGTCCCCTCCTACAATAATAGGAGGAAATCACCAGTTTCGCAATAAAATTGAAGGGGAAATATTATGTTCTTTCAAAGGGCACGTCATGCAGGTTTAAAGATATATTATTTAAATCCTGATCCTAAATATATTGAGGAAAAGCTCATGCAGTGAACAGCTGTCTATACGTAAGCTTTCTTTACACTTGGGAAAAACTTTTTCGATTGTTCTATTTTTATGCATTGATACTAACAAAAAGCCCACTTTAATGTTTGCTTACAAATAGTGATAATGTGATAAGATTTGTATAACAATTTACTTGAATGGATTGGAAATTCGGTTTGAGGAGCGCCCTTGTACGATGTGTCTCAATTTATAGTGTTTCTGTGTTTCTGAGTGGTCTAGGCACGGCCGTGCGTTACAAAATTAAAAGATCACTGCGCACGCACGCCGAGTAGCCGAGAAGCCTGTTTCAAATCGGGCAAAGCTAGTTTTCCATGCCATCGAAACCGGGCTGACCAGATTAAACTTTTAAAAAAGCAGAAACACGAAGTTGCAAACCATCCAGAGACTCCTAATAAATTGCGTTACTGATAAATTAATTATATCATTACAAATCTTTATCCTCAGTTTTCTTATTTATAACTGATTTTCCTTATAAAATTTAAATTATGGCGTATATATTCAATACTGAATGAACGCCATTAAACTATTACCTACGACAACAACAACAACTTGGGAAAAACAGAAAGCATTTTAAGTAGTTCTAAAAAGTCATTTGAATTCAAAGTGACACACAATAATCAAGTAATCAAGAGAAAAGATTATTGTGCACACAACGTGTGCGGGCAAGTACTGAATCCAATGACCGGGGTAATAGTATAAAGCGCTTAGAGACATTTGTATTAAACGCTTTATAAAAGCTAAATATTATTATTATTTATTATTATGTGAAGTATTTAGGCATTGAGTTGGCTAGCGCAATTTCATTTTCATCTTTAGTAGAATCAGTTGTAAAAAAAGCAAATTCTCGTCTGAATATTTGGTATAGATATCAAAGTTGTATGGATTTAAAAGGCAAGACATACGGTACACTCTGTTTTGCTCTTATTCAATGTTTATTTGACTATGCTAACTCTGCATGGTATAGTAACATAAACAAGTCAGATCAAAAGAAGTTGAAAATTATACAGAACAAAACGGTGAGATTTATCAACTGTTCTGGTCCGAGAACTCATGTTGGCTACAGCGAACTTTCTAAAGCTGGTTTTCTTGAAGTCGACCAAAGATCAAAACAACTCGTATTGCATCACGTGCATAAAATATATCATACTATAGGTCGAATCATTATATTCGATCCAACTTCGATTTTGTTACTGACATACATGATAATACAAGAAATAGCCGATTCAACTTTAACTTACCAGAAGGAGTGTAGTATTGGAAATTCGTTTTATTACAATGCCATAAAATATTGGAATTTCCTTCCCAATGGTGTAAAGGAAATAGAAAACTATGCTCATTTTAAGAGAAAATTAAAGGAATACCTAATACTTGACAGTCAGAGAAGAAAAGTGAATGGCATGTTATATGATTGAAACTTGTATTCTTCTGCCGGTGTGACCGCGCCGTTTGTTCTACAAGTTTCGTTTGTCCGTCAGTTATATGCGGGTTTTCTGCTCGCACGTGGACGATCCGTGCGGTTTGCTATCCGCACAGTCTGTCCCCGGTCTGTCCCCTTTTGTTTTACGTGTATATTTGATAAAAGGAAGCAACTCGGCAAATCAATGTATTTAGACTCATTGTAAATCATTTGGTTGACATTTTTTCTAGAAATTACATAATAATAACTCTCTACAATTTTTTAAAGCAAATGGGCCAGTCCTTTTGAAAGTAGAAGTGAGTATTTTCTTTAAAACCTATATTCTATGAAGGCATACTCGTGATGTCGGCCCCACAACTGTTGTAATCGATTATACTTTTGTACGTGGCTTCGTACTTCAACCAACTCACTACTAGTATTATACTCGTGATAAATTCCCCGCCCAAAGTATTTGGGGGGCGTTTCGAGGTTTAATGAAGGAGTTAAATGGGAAATAAAAGTGATTAAATATTGGGGTTGAAAGTGAGTGGGGGAGGCTAGAGTATTTAAGATAAGGTAAAGCGTAGCACAAATTGGCGGATGCTCAGGGGGTAGGGGCATTTATTACGGTCAGATGAGCATATTTTAATACCTTATTCATGACACTGGCAGGTCACTAATTGGCGTATGGTCCAAGGGGCGGAGCCCCCGGAAGCGCAGGGGTTTTAGGCATTAAAATTAAGGTCAGATTAGCATCCAGGGGCTAGCCTTAGGTTCCAAGGTGGGGTCCAGGGGGCAGAGCCCCGGAAGCTCAGGGATATGGGCATTTAATTACGGTTACATGAGCATACTTTCTTTTCTATTTCTTTTCAAAAGTGTGTGTGTGGGGGGGGGGGGGGGGGGTGGGGGATTGAGCCCCCAAACCCGCCTTTCCGCGGGACCTGACATGTAGGCCTCTAAATAGTAAATAAGCACATTTCTTGCCTGACTGTAAATTTTGATATATGTCATTCTCCGCAACAAACGCATAAAAAGTATAATTTACTAAAAAGTGAGGAAAAATCCCGGAAAATTAGATCATTTCACCAACATCTGTAAATCTTTAATCAGAATTATTTCAATTACAAGTACAAAAGCAAGAACCTCGAGATAGCATTGCATCAGAAACTGAAAATTTCGTTGGGCCCAAAATGAAGAAAAAGGAGTAAAATAAGCCATCCACAGGTACAAACTCCAGACCACCAACAGGTTGGAGGAGCAAAGTCGAGAAATGAGACAATCCGCTCTACCCCCCCCCCCCCCCCCCCCTCACACACACACCATCAACACTCTCATACTAACACTCAAACACACAACCGCCCCCCCCCCTCCCCCTCCCCCCCCCCCCCCCCCCCACCCCACCCCAACACACACAATCCACACGCAACATCCGGGTAAGACAGATCGCCTCACACCCCGACCCCGCCCACTCCAGACACCCAGTCGGCGAATTGCGCAGACAGAGCGTGGGGAAATCCACTGAAGTGATAAAAATACAACGCATTCCTGAATAGGCAATAAGGAAACACGCGTAAACTGACCCAATTCCAATCGAGGTTATTGCTCATGTTACACAGTGGCAATGTGATTTGTAAACAAAAATTATATGCACACAAGTAATGTAAAATTATTTGACTATGGGAAATAACTGACAGCAATGTAAAAGGGGAAAAGAAAAAAAAAAGAGGTTGGAGTAGCAATAAATACTTGTATCTCTGTAAAGGGGCACAGGGATATGTACAGAAGTAAACATGGGAGTACAAAAGACAAAATATTACATAAAAAGATCACTGTAAGATCATATTAAAAACAAAGGGGAAAAAGAAAGGTCTATATATTATATGATGACACAAAAGCTTAAAGGTCAAAACGCCATTTTTAAAGTGACTAGGCAATTTACTTCTCTTTTTGGCTGACAGATATTCCAATTCTTTTTGTTTCTTAACCAGTGATTTGAACGCTGTGAAATTGGGGAGCATATTTCTAAACTTGCATGAATAAATATGATATTTCAATAGCAAAAACAGACATCGGATCTCGCATATCATTGACCCAAAAAATATATTTGGTGGATCTCGGATATCATTGAAACCCCCAAATATTCATTTTGTATATACTTCGTACGTTATAGAAATTCTACAAATTCATCATTATTTTCCTCTTCTTCCTTCTCCTATTTTTCTTCTTCTCCTTCTTCCTTTTCTTCTTGTACTTATTATCAGTTCTATCGTCAGTTTAATGTTGTTATTAATATTATCTTTAATAAGTAATTCTTTTATTTTTCTTATCTGTATGTAAATACTAATATTTTAACTAATTAATGTTATACATGTCTGTAAGGGACCCAACTGGAAATAAGCTCTCGAGCTTTCGTGGGTTATCCTGTTCAAGCTGACTTATTTTTGATCATTTATTATTGTATATTGTTGTATGTTGGAAGCTTGTCGAATAAAAAACAATCAATCAATCAACGGTGTAACCATGTCAATTTGCACGACCCATCGGAGGAGACGGCGGGGGGGGGGGGGGATGAAGGCATATTTACTTCATATTTCGAGGTTTGCCATTTACAACCTTCCTCTACCTTTGATATTTTGGGGGGTAAATAAAATGGATTAGATCTTACACTAATCTAATATAAAGACGGTGAAGATGAGGATGAGGATGATTATGTTCAGAGAAGATCTACCATGTTGGTGTCTGATGAAGTGAGATCATTGCTAGATTCTAAAAGGCTCAATCATCTAGGAATTCAATCCCCAGATTATGGGCGTGATTGGGAAGATACGATTCAGGTAATTAAGTTGTTGAATGATATGGAAGACTTTGATCCAGCTGCACCCCTTGTTCTTGACGATCAAGCCACTCGAGGACATAGTTTTTATTTATTACGTTTAAGTTCTATAAAAAGCAAAAGGTTATATTGTTTCAGTGTAAGAGTAGTTAATTCTTGGAATGACCTTTCTTCTGATATTATTGAGGCATCTTCAGTAATTTTGTTAAAGTCCAAGCTCATGGACCACGAAAAACAGAAGAGTTTGAAAAAATTTTGAAAAAATTGTTTGAATTAAAATTTGACCCAACATGGAGCTTTATACATTGTCAGAGAACAGACCTGTTGAATGGCCCTCTACAAATCTTCAGACAAACTGGGCGTACGTCACCATGGTAACTGATTATTCTTGTTAGTATCATGATTTTTATCATTATTATCACTATTATCATTAATTATTTTATTTAAGTTTATTTTGTAATCAGATAGGAATGTAATATCAGCATGATGAACATTTGGGATTTCAA